TGTTCTGCCTCACTACTCCTCACTTCTTTTTTCTGTTGCTTGTTGTGAGTTAGAGCTGACTTGATAACATTGGACAACAACAAAGCATTGAAACTGTCAACAATTTAATCTTACTTAGATCCACAATCAACACCATTGGCAATAGCAGTCAGGAGATAAGGAGACATATTGCTTTGGGCAAGGGCACTGTCAGGAACCTCTCTGAAATACTGAAGAGCAATGATGTCAATTTGAAGACTAAGATGTGCCTGATTCAGATTATGGTTTTCTCAATCACTTGCTATGCATCTGAGAGAGCTGTACATTGAACAATGGACAATAAATAAGGATGATAGAAGGAAAATTAATGTCTTTGAGTTGTGGTGTTGGAGAAGAGAACTGAATAGCTCATGGACTGCTGAAAGAACAAACAGGTATGTCTTAGAAAAGGGGCGGCTAGAGTGCTCCTTGGAGGCAGCATGGCAAAGCTTCATCACTTTATCTCTCATACTTTGGGTATGTTGCTAGGAGAAGCTGTTTCTTGGAGAGGGACATCAGGCTTGGAAAAGTGGAGGGAAAGTGAAAGAGAGGAAGTCTCCCAATGAGATGGATTGACACAGTGATTGTAGAAAAGGGCTCAAGTGTATCAGAGAAGGTGAAGATGGTACAGGATAGGACAGAACTCAGATTTGTTGTCCATAGGATCACTATGAGTCATACTTGGCTCAATAGCACTTAACAATATTTGTTAAGCAAGGCTTGTTACATTATGTTGCTGTTGCTATTAAGTGCTTTGGAGCTAAATAACATTTATTAAACAAGGCTTGTTACCTTATGTTGCTGTTGTTGTTAAGTCCTGTGGAGCCAAATAACATTTGTTAAACAGGCTTGTAATGTTATGTTGTTGTTATTGTTTTTATGTGCCATAGAGTCTCCTGAGACTCAGAGACCCTATGTATAGCCAGTCGCGTTGACTATGGCACACCTATCCCCCTTATCTCAGTCATTGTGTCAGTCTATCTCATGCAGGGTTTTATTCTATTGTGTTGTCCCTCCACCCTCCACCCTTCCAAGCATGATGCCCTTCTCCAAAGACTGGTCCCTCCTGGCAACATGTCCAAAGTATAGATAGACTTCTAGACCGTATACCGCCCCCCCACCCCCCGCCCACCAACTTAGTTGTCAGAAAAGATAATCCCTAAAGAATGAATTCTACAAGTGATGCTGTTTCCTATCATTTGTGATAGATCAGCTACCACTCTCATATGACTCTTCAGCATTGCCTCTGGGGATGAGAAATTAGTCTACTCCTTCATCCACTCCACTAGTATTTGTTGAGCATCTCTGACACTGAGCTTAGTGCTTTATATACAGTATTATGACAGATCTGGTCCCTGTCATTATGGAGCCTTCATTCTAGTGTGGAACACACAACCAACAAGAAAACAAACAAGTAAATGCAAATTAGGGCAATGGCACCAAGTTCCGTTAAAGTGGTTGTGAAGAACTCTGTGTTGTTGTTATGTGCCGTCAAATCGCTTGCAACTCTTAGCGACCCTATGTACAACATCCCTAAACTCTGCTCTGTCCTGTGCCAATCTCATTGTCTCCAACACACTCATCCCAATTGCCCCAGTCACCGAATCAATCCACCTCCCAGAGGGCCTTCCCCTCCTGCGCCTGCCCTCCACCCTCCCAAGCATGATGTCCTTCTCCAAGGACGGGTCTCTCCGTGAGTAGGTGATATTTAAATCAAGGTTTGAGGGATGAAAAAGCACCAGCTACATACCCTGCAAGGGAAGGGCATTTCAAACAGAGGGTGGCTAATCTTAAAAAGAAAACAAAAAGAGTAGTTTCTCAATTTAGTGTTTAAAAGTATTATCTTACCCACTTCTGTAAAGGCAACAATTTTATGTGGAGTAAATATATTTATTTGTAAGTTTATAGAGAAAAAGGAAATGAATCTGTTATGAATAAGATTCTGCTTAAGACTCAGTTTTAAGCTCAATTTCCCGTAAGTATGTACAGCAATTTTCCCTTTACACATCTTTATCTTTTTCATTCTATCTGGTGTACTTGGCACTATCCTAGAAAATTTCTATCCATTCTCTTGAGGCTTGGGTCAGCCCCTTGTCCTCAACTAAGCCTTCTTAGACCCTCCAGCCTTTTGTGAGCACTAGTTAGTACAATCCTTCCATCTTCTTAAACCAGCTATCCATGGGTCTTCTTTCTTCCATGGGTGATTATCCTGTCTTTCTTGCAAGATTTATGAATTAGTACCAAGTTTGTGTCTCCCCATCCTCCAATTATTCTCTCCATGCATAATATCAAGGTAAAGAATATTTATTTAGCCTACCATTTTATGTCTAAGTGAACAGCATGCCTGTCTTAAGAATTTATGCATACAAAATCTAATATGTTTATGTGGAAATTTAACCAGATGTACAAAGAAATAAATAGATGTGGGGGAAACGGCCTAAAATCTTATATACCTTTTCCTCTAAGTGATTTCCTCAGTATATTTTCCATGTAAACAAAATCTTTAGTGAAATTTCTCCAACCAGATTTCAGGGGCCAGCCGTTAAAAGTGCCTAAAGTTAAGAAAAGCAAACCATCTCCCCCACCCCCACTTCCCACCCCAAGCAACCATTTCGAAAACAAAATAAAATAAAACACCAAGGTTCTCATCATTTTTACAGTACAAAAATTTTATTTTTTTTGTTAGGATAATTTAAAGTTTAAAACTGAAGTAGACATATTCATTTTACAAACAAGATATTCTTTCATAAGTAAGACCATTAAAAACAGTAAACAAAAAAAAGCTGTCTTTACAAAAAGCTCTGTGCATAGCAACTTTATACTGTATGTAACTGACAAAGCAAATGATAAAATGAAACTATACAGTTTGAAAATGAGAATTTACTGTACAAAAGGTAAAGAGGATAATGGTTTTTAAACCATGCATATGGAAATGTGCAAAGAAAAATGGGGAAATGATGACATTATAATAAGAACAAAAGAAAGATAAATAATGAAGTAAGCTGTCCCTTTAAATGAAAATCTTACACAGCTCCTCTTACAAAGATAGGATAGAATTTGTAGTTTCCTATAGAAATACTCGTATTCCAAGTGGCACAGGAAATAACCTGGGAATGGGATGATTCAACAGCAATGACTAAAGAGGACAGAGTAACTTTGTTTTTAATTTATTATTACACTAAAAATAATCCTTACACACATTTGTACAATTAAATAGATCTGTTGCTGCCAAGGTTCTAGCTGAGTGGTCAAGGATGTCTGGTATTTAGTTACACACATTTTTCGGTGTGAAGCTACCAACAAATTCTACAATCATTTTGAAGACAGTACTGCACTCATCTTCATGCAAGAGCAAAATTCACAGATTCTAAAAGCAATGCTACTTAGAAAAAAAAAATCCTTATGTTGGATTGGCTCAAATCCAGGTCTAAACATGCTTCATTTCATTCTGCCTTCATTTTGGGATGGTAATGTTTGTATTCTGCACACTCTTCCCCTCCCATCAGAGTTTTCACTGGGGAAATTTCTCTCACGTGTTTCCGTGTATTTTGGTGCTTTAAACCCTGACTGTGAGGGATTGTCAGCAGTAGTTACAAGCATGCCAGATTTCCAAAACCTTGGATTCTCATGTGCATAGAAATAATATTTGGGTTGCATTGGGTAATTTCAGAGTGGATTAAAGGCAAATAAAACCACTGGGGGCTGCTGGATGTATCAAGTGGGGAAGAGGAAGGGATACTAAACTCATGACATTGGCTATAACATTGGCTCAGAATCACTAAAGATGCTTTCCATAAGAGCTACATCAGTTTTTGTTGCAAACTCCAACTGAGAACCCTAAACTGAAGTCTGTGTAGTCCAGACCGTGGTGCAAATGAATCAACAAGGAGAACCCTGGCCTGGGAAAATAAACCATCTTAATTGGTGACCCAATCAGCTTGGGTGCATCTCTGAGTTCACACAGGCTTTGAAACACATCTCCTGAAGAATCAGCCCGTTAGTAGGTACCACCAGATCTTCCTCCTTGAAAGCTAATCATACGACTGTGGGGATCCCATCAGAGGGCTGAGTGAGTACTTGAGCTGCTTAGAACAGATTCCTTTAAGCTCAGAATCTGACAGCAACCTGGATTTCCATTTCTGCGATCATTACAAGGCTTCAGAGCTTTTAACAACCCTCTTCATATTTTCACACCCCACCTTTCTCTGTATCGAAAACAGATTGTTAATGAATATTCTTTTTCTTCCAAAAGAGTGTAATGTCATGAAAGCGGAAATTTGCAGAGAGAAAAAGACTGGACATTATAAGATTGACCTGTAAGAGTTCAATGAACAGAAGCTATCTTTGCCAAACCCTGTTTCTGCAGCTCATCTCTGTGAGGTTTATACTTCTGTGCTAAAACAGGTAACAATAGAGGAAGGATAGGGCAGCTCTGGCAAGGTCAAGGTTGTCATGTGACTGGCTCTTTAAGCAGAGACACTTTTTCCCCTCGAATGCTAGAAGCCTGGGACACATTGAAGCATGGGAATTGTCTGCACTGCTTACGAGTTAATGTTGAAAGTGAATATGAATTTTTAAAAAATGTATTCACAAAGAGTGAATATTAAAAGGAACATGTACACTATTTAAAAGCAGACAGAGCTAGGAATATTAGCTTATGCATATGTACAGGAGAATTTTCTTCTGTATTGGATGGTTTTGCAGGAATTTAGGTTGAGTTCTTGCCCATCGGTCAAATAATGGATAAAGAAGGGAATTTAGGATGGAGGGGTGGATAAAAATCTAGTAAGTAACTGCAGTAATAATCACACACCTTTTTAACTTGTTACTACATGTTTGCATCGCTTTCATTTTACATCAGGAAGAGAAATGCCCCTCTCTTCCAAAAAAGGTCTTAGTTTCTACCTCTACTTACAATAAGTTACACGTTTATTTATTTAAATAACTGTAAAACATTTTAAAATTTTTCCCTTTTTTGTTTTGTTTTTTTGTTTAAGAGATTAAACTATAAGCAAACACACACAACAACAGTTCATCATTCAGTTCGGGTTTTGTTTTAAGAAAGTCTTCCATGCTGGTACCCTGTTTTGTTCAATTTTTTTTTTCTGCATAAACTAAATTGGTATCTGAAAGGCTTCATAGAAAATAGAAACTTTCAACTTTTTTTTCCTACAAAGAAAAACAAATAGTATCCAAAATATTAAGCATGAATTGTTTGCCAATTTTTTTCTTAAATATTTTACAAACATAGGAAGGTGGTTTTCATAGTGTTCATAACAAAGAATGGCATTTCTGCTCTTAGCACACTGACCATGTCAATGACATCTTTTGTCTTTGTCCACAAGGTCAGTTTGTGTCGCCACCATCACAGCTATGGGAGAAACGTGAGGCCAAGTAGGATGCAGGCTCCTTGCACACCCACATGTGCCCATCGTGTTCATTGGGGGCATGCCTCTCCCAAAGAGCTCAGAGTGCTTTCTTCAGTATTGGTCCATCAGAATAAGTAGTTTTGTGCTATAAGAAAGCAGTTCTTCCTCTTCTTTACATCGGTGGTACAACGAGGCCAGTCATGGCTGCAAGGAAATAGTGGCACAGGAATGAGACTTGCAGAAGGCTCACATTACAGCAGGTATACAGGGAGAGGTGGGGTGAGAGTGACAGCTTACACAATCTAGGAAGACAGTGCCCTCCACCGATGTTCCAACCAATTTTCTCCAGGTTTGGTCTAGCCTATTAGAGGCACTGACGCTTCCTTTAGTCACAGAAATCCAAACGAGCACATTGGTGGAATTTAGCTTGGGAAACCAAGAGCTACGTTTTGTTTTGCTTTATTCTATATTAACAAGTTGTTGTAAGTGTGATCATAGATGTAAACAAAACTGTAATTTATGTGATATATATGTGTGTGTGTGTGTGTGTGTGTGTGTGTATATATATTTATTTAGGCTAAGAATGTTTTCCAGCTTTCATATTTCTAAATCATTTCGTTAAAATAGGGAGGAAAATACAAACAACTTTAACTGCCTAACTGCTGAGTTGTATTCAGTTACTAAGCACCATTTATAGCAAAGAAGACTTTGCATCCATCCCAGGCCTCTATCCATCCTAGCCCAAATTCAATTAGCTACTTGTTCTAACTCATGATCCTTTAGTGCTCAACTCAAACATTCAGTGTTCATTCAGCCACTGGAATAGCAAGTTTTAACTTAGTTCTTCATTTTGGAGTCATCCCAGTCCACGCTCCTTACCCCCTCTCCTGGTGTGGTTCCCAGTGCACTTTCACCTACTCAGGAAGGTGTGGACCATGCCTGCCCCACCTCTAAGACATTATGGACTCTGAAGATATCACACAACCAGTTCTTCTTATTTCCCAAACTTAGTGTAACTGTAGAGGAAGTGGGAGCGGTGGCAGGGGTGAGGGGATAGTGGGTGTGAAGTTAAACTAAAAGTTGGCCCTTTTTTAGCCATTTAGCAGCCTCTGGTTTCCAGCTACCTTAACTGCAGACACATGCTCTTGCAAAACAGCATCAGCTATGGGACTCAGATAAGTGAAGTCGTGCTTCCCATGCTGAGCAGCAAGACTTAAGGTGAGAAAGACTTGGAGCAGGATTTGAGGTGAGCACGGTTTGTGGCAGCAAGACCCTGGTGGAAGTGAGACCTTGGTGGTGGAAAGACTTGCATTGCTGTGGAGAAACTGACAAGGTGTGACCTGAGGCTTCTTGATTTGTGCTGGCCATGGTTGGATTTTGCTGTTCTTGCCTTTGATGATGGATGGAAAAATCTGCTTGCTGAATTCTAACTGTAGCCTTTGCTAACTAAGGAGTTGTGCCTTGGAACTGTTGGGCTAAAAACCTATGCTTATGTTCAGTGATATTGTGAGTGCCTTATCCACTATCCAATTTCCTTCCTTACTAAGCCCTATTGTTGGTACCCTAACTGTGAGTCTGTGAGTCAGCAACAAATGATAGAACCTCTTGCTCTTGGTGGGGCTCTGCAGGCACCTCAGGAGTGGGCTATGTTCATGATCCGCTCTCTGCTCTGGGACAGTGAGGGGCTGTGTTTCAGAGAGGCTCATGGCCTTGTGACCCCATGTCCAGTTTAGACAGTGGGCCAAGTTATACTTTCCACCCCACCTTCTTTAAAGTTGAAAATATTTGCAAGATTTTTCAGAAAGGAGGAAAAAGTTATATCCTTCCTGTATTCCTCTTTGACAATGTGGTAACACATCTGAGTATCTACTGGTACCAGAAATAAAGCAGCATTAGCACCAAGTAAGTGGGTGGAATCCCACAGTGCCAGCCACTCTTCTGATTTCAGCTGTCAGATGATGAACTAATAGAATGTTCATATTGGAAACTGTAAGAATATTTGCCTTGAATCAGAAGTTGAAACCATATCTAGGATTACATATGTTGTGTTGTCTACATTTCATCTAGAAGTTTAGAAAATATCACAGGAGCATTTTTGGTTAAGTGCTTGTTCCAAGTAAATGACGCCAATCTATCCTAGCCACCCCCTATCCTAGCCTATGTCTCTCTCCCTCTCATCTCTCTGCCCTTTCTCTCCACACCATCTAGTCCTTTCAGGCAGCTTTGTCAGCCGTCTCTCCATTTCCCTGCCCATACAGCCTTTATTGAATGTTTGTGAGATCTGGATTAAGGTCTTACACAGCTAGCAAAGCCTTAATTATTTTTGCCTGTATTACTATATATTGAATCGATGTAACTTTTCAATAAAGGTGGTTCAATTCTGGACACTCCCTGATGATTTGGAGGTATAGCAACTCTGGTAATTATCCCGGAGTGTAGGAATCTTTTATTTTATTTTTTTTTCCTGGAGGGAACTGGAAAAGGAATCAAGCACACAGTGTATAATATTATCTTGACAATGGGCACTCATCACTGTACATACCTGATAAATGAGGTGCCTACAACGTGGGGCAACAAATGCTATGTGTGCAAACCTCTGGCAGTAAAATTTTTATTTTTCCACTTTCACTTGTCTGTTGCTTTTAAAAAACCCTTATCATTATTGTGCCTGTTTGATATTGACTCATAGCAACCCTGTGTAACAAAGCAAAACTCCTTCTTGGGATTGCCCAGGCTGCAGCAGTCTTTATGAAGTGAAGCACCAGATCTTTCTCCTTTGGAATCCTGGGTGGCTTAGAACTGCCAGTTGTTCAATTAACAGCTGAGTGCTTGCACGTTGCACCATCATAGCTCCTTTCAGAACTACTAAGTTCCCTCCTGTGTGTGTGTGTGTGTGTGTGTGTGTGTGTGTGTGTGTGTGTATGTGTGTGTCTTCAGAGAATTTCCTAAAGAGCTTATTGAAATAAAAAAAGTCAAAGTCATTGCTGTGGAGTTGTAATCAGCTCACAGAGGCTGTAAATTGCATGGAAGAAGGCCTGTCCATCTTTCCCCTGAGGAATAACTCATGGATTCAAACCACCTGCCTTTGGATTGGCAGCACAGCTGCTTACCACTAGGTGACTTGAGTAGAGCTGCTCAGAGAATAAGATCCACCACAGGCTGGATGAGCAACAGATTTCACATGTCTGTACTCTTCCTGGCATCACATCAAGCACTGGGTGAGCTGGATTTGTGCTAGATGGTGACCCTGAGATTTTGCTTGCAGAAACCACAGTGAAGAGATAGGAGACAGAAACTGATCTGAGCAAAAGTAAGCATTTTTCATGAAAGGGCGAAGAAGTCTGCTTAAAAGCACTTCAATTCCTGTTTACTTTTGGCATCTCATAGAAAAGCAATACTCTCCCTGTGGTCCAGGTAGAAAGTAGGTATGGGCCCTGGGTGAAGAAAGAAATCATTGTTTCTGTTGTGGGAGGGATGATGGGCTGTGGAAAAGTGCACAGGCTCTGTGTTCAAGTCATCATGGCTTTAAGCAAGTTATTTAACTGAAAATGGTAATGATGGAATGACCTCCTCCTTAGGGTCATGTAGGAGACTCTAAAGAGATCGTTCAAGCAAAGTTTCATGATTGCACATCTAGTGCTCAAAAATTTTTAGCACAAGTTAGAGAGCTTTGCTGTGCATGCCTTGCAGGTGAAGAGAGACCACCTCCCCTTACAATAATGCTAGAGAAGGGCCTCTCTGCCAGTGTGATGGGGGAAGCTCCTGTGGCCTAATCTGTAGAGAGATGCACTATTAACCCAAAGGTTACATCTCTCTGATGGTTCAAATCCACCAGTGGCTTCAAGGCAGAAAGGTAAGCAATCTCTTCTGTGATTTACAGCCTCAGAAATCCAATGGAAGGTTAGTAATGAATTGATTCCAATTCAACGGCAATGAGTTAGAGGTTTTGTTGGTTCTTATCAAAAGATCACCAGAGAACCTCAGCTCACTGCCTGTCTTGAAGCCATGAGGCCCCTGCCCAGCAGCCCTGCATTCCTGAATTCCTCCAGTGACTACAGATACAATGCTAAATGTCAGTTTGGTTTTGTTCTATCTGCAAATTGAGCTTCCATTCACCAGGTTCCAGTTGTCCAAAATGAGGCCGAAGAATAGAAGACAAAGCTTGTGGAAAATATCTTTTGTCAACCTCAGCCTTCTCTCTGTTGGTATGAAATATTGCAGAATTTCATGTTATAAATCACTTTGCTTCCTCAGTTCTTCCTACAGATAATTCACAGTAACCTCTGGAAGTAGCTGTCATTTTTTCCTATTTAAAGATTAGGAATTGAGACGATAAGATGCTAATGACCTTCTCAAGTCCAGAGAGTCTGGGAGAAGCTGAGTTAGAACTTCAGTACGTATCTTTTTGGCGAGCTTAAGTGAGGTGACTGTCCAATGGTTATTATTCTTTGAGGGCCTCTTCAGAATTCATTTCTATCTCTCCACACATCATTCAAGACCTTTAGAGCTGTTTGCAATTTTTTAAAAGAATATAACCCTAACTTTATTTTATTCTCTTCTTTTTTTTTTTTAAAGGCCCAACTCATGAGAAAAATTTAATGCCCCATAATTAGAGGGAATTGTAGAATTTAGAAGTGGTTTGGAGCTGTACAATCATTAGTAGAAATGAAGCTAGGGCCTAGAATTTGTGTTTTTTTAACCACTAACCAAACCCTCTCTCCTGAAAGACTGTGCAGCTTAGTCAACCAGCCATCCCACAGGCGGGGACCAGAGGTTTACATGGAGGCCTGGCAGAAGGTCTACTGATTCTATCTGGTGCTGCTTCCTCTGCAGGAAAGCTTCACCAAGACCTCACAAAGCAACCTTCTAGATCGCTGGGCTCTTACAACATGATGGCAGTAACAGGGTCCTGGGCAAGCACCATATCTCAGGGTGGTGGTAGAAGCCAGGGAGCAAGTGTGATACCTTGTCCTGATGTCTGTGCAGGCCCACAGGTGAGGCTCCTGGGACAATATAGAATGAGGAGAGAAGAGATGATCAGCTCTAGTTTCCCAAACCAGACATGGAAAAGGATGAAACAGAACTGGCAGGTGGAGATCTAGTAACATTATTTTTCTTTAATGTAAAGCTGAGAATATTTGCAAAAGTTTCTAGGAAGAACTCTTCTTATATTTTTTCCTTGACAAGATGGAGAGGCTGGCTCTTCTGATTGGACTTTCTTGTGCCTCTCATTCTGCATTTCCTAACTAGACCAGTTCAAGTCCCCAGTTGTTTTAAGGTACATGAATACCATTATCAATGAATCGATATCAATTCCTAGCAGCCTTCCATCAGATTTCTGGGGCTGAAAATCTTCATGAGAGGAGAGGTTCACCTTTTTCTTACAGAGCCCCTGGTGGATTCACACCAGTGACCTTTTGGTTGGTAGCGGAACACATGTAACATGCTGCACCCCCAGAGCTCCTTCAAGGTGCATGAACGGAACCATGCATTTTAATGCAGGAGGGTTGCTTAGTGCTCTCCAGTTCCTTTTTATATGTGCCAGTTCATGAAAAAGATGAAAGTAAGTAGGAGATGGCAGTGAAGATCAGAATTCCACTGTTAATGTCGGAGGGACGTCAGTGAATGTGGTGTAAGTGTACAGGCTCTAACCGATTCAAGTCACTGAACCTTCATGTCTGACGTGGTGTGGAGAAAGGAAGATGCAGCAACTATTAAGTAGGTGATTTAATTTCCCTGGTTGGAGACAAAGTCACGGTGGCAAAAGTGACTTAGGGTACGTCCCCTAACAATAATGGGAAGAAAACTATGATCTTTGACAAGAGCCAGGGCAGGTGGAGACAATTAGTTACAGGCTGATCTTGTTTCTTTCTCAATGGATCTTGATAAAAACCAAAAAAGAAAAGAAAGGAAGGGGGGGAAGTCCCATCAGATATACAGTTGTTTCCAAGAATCCACACATTGGGTGCAGGTAGACCTAAACTGTTAGGATGAACCCCTGTGACTGCTCCTCTGGGGACAGGGTTTGCACTTCTGCCTTGGAGTTTCTGTCTATTCACTATGGACTTTGAGGAGACACTAGCATCTGAAATTGATCGCAAAAAGTATCTTTCAAGTGTTTGTAGGTAGATAAAAACAAAACAAAACTGGGAACCACTGAGGGCTCTGCTCAGCCACAACTGGCAAACAGATCTGTTAAGGTTTCCCCAAAGGATTAGAAACCCAGGTGACATTGAAAAACCACTAGGTCTGAGCCATCCGGGGGCAGTGCAACTCATCAGAGTTCTTCCTCAAGCTCTGAAGACCCCACAGGCTTTCATCCACAAGGACTTAACGGAACCTCTGCCCTTCTTGGTTTTCTCCAACAATGCCTGTTGTGAATATTTTCATGTCAAGACGTGTGGAACAGTCTAAAAATAATCTGGGTCGTCAGTGATCCAGAGTGCTCAGCAGTTTCCAATTTGCTCTTTGCCATCAGCTGCCTCCCATTCACAGCGAGATGATTAGATTCTCATGTACTCATCACATTTGTGTTACGTCATGTCATATTACATTGTAAGACATTGTTCAAAACTGAGTTTGACGGGTGATATTAATTTTTGTTCTTAAAACCACTGTGTCTTCCACCCCTACCCCTTCCTTTCTTCCCACTCCCGCCTTGATCAGCCACCTGCTATCAATTTCACTAGTATGTAACCTGAATTCTGAGAACTTGCTAGTTGCTCCTGATGAACTTTTTTTTTTTGCCATGGGAAGTTGTATGCACTGCAGATGGCAAGCAGATTAGGGAAGCAGCCATCACCACATGCTATCAGATATGGAGATCCAGACACCTTCTGGAAAAAAAGAGAATGGCCTCATGGAATAGTATAGTGCTGGGGGTCCAGGAACTCCTGGATTAGTTGGATGGGGCTACCAGTTGAGTCAATGATCTTGCACAATTGGCTGACTTCCTGCCCGCCATGCCTCCTCTTGCTTTTAGATAAAGCACTGGCCGATTTTTGTTATAAAAACTATTGATGAACATACCAGGTATCTGTAGCGAGATGGCTAAATCCAGTTGCTGTGGAGTGGATTCTGACTCCTGGTGACCCTGTGTCTGTGGGTCAGAGTAGAATTGTGCCCCCAAGAGCTTTCAATGGCTGACCTCTCAAAAGTAGATGACCAGGGTTTTCTTTTGAAGGGGCCTCTTTATGGACTCAAACCACTAACCTTTTGATTAGCAGCTGGGCGTGTTAACCATCTGCACCACTCAAGGACTCCAGGTAGATGGCTAGAGATATAAAATAGTGGGATGTTTGCTCTTAGTTTGCTTGTCCTACAGCTCCTGTGTCTGCTCACTCCCACCGCGGCACCTCTGCCTACCTCTGAATCCATTGCCATTGCCGCTGGAGCAGGCTGGCGAAGGGGAGCCTTGAGGCCTGATGACAGGAGCAAAGGCACTCTTCTGTTTGACAGCAGGAAAAACTGAAGAGGAAAATGGGAGGATGGAGGACGTGCTGGAAGATCCAACGGTGGGGCTTGATGACATGACTGGAAAACAAATGCACAAAAGTCTCTTTTAGAAAGCGCCTCATTGAAAGCAAATTCTTCTGCCAATACATACATTCTGCCGCATTAAGAGGTTACTAATTGTGAGGCATTAAACCAGAGTGTAGGGATCAAAGAACTGAGTGTGGCCCTGTTGCTGCTCTGTCCAGTGAGGAAATGGACAAGTGAAATGGTAAAGTGATAATTATTCTACTAGAGAAATGTATCTAATAGCAAGAGACACAGAGGACGGAGTTTTTCTTCTGCCTTCTAGAGTCAGGGGAGGGTGTCACACAGGAACCAATATGTTTGTTGGTCTTGACTTGTGAGGTTGGAACCAACTCATAGCTGACCCTTTACTGGGTCTCTGAGGCTGTAAATGGCATGGGAAGAGATTGCCTATCTTTCTCCTACTAAGCCATTGGTAGACTGGAACAAAGTGCCTGCAAATCATCAAATCCATCAAAGAATATACGGCCATTTCTCAACCTATACAGCAGTTTTGTCTGAGGACCGTGTGCTTGCCGGTGAATTCCCAGGGCCCCAGAGCTTTGATCTATGGGATTAACATCTTCTCAGCTGTTTCCATCTCCATGGGCCACTTCCTCATTAAATGTAAAAATTTATTAACATTTAGTAGATTACCTCCCTTACTTTCAGGGCTCCTGGGAAATAAAAGCTACAAGTCAGATTCTTCTGACATAATGTTTAGAAAAAGAAAACAGCAATATTAAAATATGAACTTGAAAATTACTTAAAGGGAGCCAAAAGCTAAGGGTTGTAATTTCCAAGAAAAACAAAGTGTAAACCAAAGAGCCCCACCTCTGAATTTCAGATACTCCACCAAGTTACATCATACAAGAAGAGAACTTTATTTTCTCTGTTGAGCTTGCTCAAGAAAAGGGTAAACGAGCATTTACGTGGATAAGATCAGTAGGTCTAGCACTTTCTAGTGTAAGGTCACATGTTAGAGACTCAATACAGGATCATTCCTAGGACTTAGGACTTGCCAAAAGAATTTGTGGAGCCAAGTGGCAAAGCCCAAGGTCTCTGGTTGATGCAAATGGTTCACTCTTGATGACTAACCTAATGGTTGGCAGTTCAAACCCATCCAGTAGTATCAATGAAGAAAAGGCTTTTGTTAAGGCTGTAGCTAAGAAAATGTCAGGGCAAAGGTCTACTCCGTAACACATGTGCTTGCTGTGAATTGGAGTCAACTTGAGAACAAGTAACAACAACAATTCTAAAGCTCACCATAAAGTCTAGGTGTGCTAGGGTCTGATTTGAATTTTCAAAAGACGAGCTATCTCACACAGTGAAATAGGGACTATCCTTTGTGGGAAATGAGGATGAATGTGATTTATGGTCCAATGACCAAGCAAGCACAAAATTAATTTGAAGTTAAATGTTCACATGTCCTGTCCAAGACTTCACCCCCATTCTCTCCATCTGCCTATAAAAATATATATGGTACTGGGCTTGCTTACTTGCTTACTTGTATACAGCAATCATACAGCATAACTTTAATATGATTGATGGCTTTTAGAAGCGAAATACAAACCAAAGGCTTCAAAAGAAGGGCTTTCTCTAAAGACTTATTTAAACAAATAAGCCTTTTAAATAAGGTGGTTCTTATTTTAAAATATCACTCAGAAGAAACCACTAGAGAAGAAGAATAGATACTAAACAAATCACACGTAACACTTGAAAGTATATGAATTGGCAATTAAGGTCATTCCCTCTAATATGCATCGAGAGTAACTAACTTTTATTCTGTTCCATGCGAACCCTTTATTTTTAATCTAGGATTTTGCATCAATAAAATAGTGATTAAAGCATACATGCATACACCCCTTTCTCTGAAGTGCAGAATTAGAAACCAAATAAAAGCTAATCCTCAGGATGCTGTGTTTCTGCTCTGAGTTCACTTTCTGCCAGACTATATCATCTACACAAGCAGCCCACTGCTGCCTTGGTTTCCATGTCTGCAATATCAGTACCACCTTTTCTGCACTATCTATCACACTATGCTACAACCCCCCCCCCACCTTACATATATATGCAGGACCTAACTTGACTGTACAGATCTTTTTCTAACAAATAGGCCCATCCTGACATAGGCCTTAGAAATAAAGTACAGATTTTTCTTAATAGAAGAGGAATCAAGCCCAAGTTTGAGTAAGTAACATCAAAGAACTGCCGCAGGATAAATAGAGCCGTAACATACTACAGGGATGGAAAAAGACCTCATTTAAAAAGAGTTTGATCTAAAAAATTCTGTTCAAATTAAGGTAGGACTTAATGACAACATAATAAAATTTTAAGCAGATTTTTAAAAAATTGTGCATTTTAACAAAACAGCTCTTATATGCAGATGTAAACAAACAAAAAGCAATAGGAAAAAAGAATGCCGTAATATTCAGAAACTCTTGTTACATTTCCCCCTTAAAGTTGTTAAGAGGAAGTACTTCTCTTACCAGATAGTAAAATTTGTTTTAAAAAAAATCTATATTAAGGAAGTTGGTGTTTTTCTAGTATTAGCACAGAAATAGGCAGATAGATCCTTGGAAAAAAATAGAATCCAGAAACAGACCTGGGTATGTATGAGAATTAATACATAATAAAGGTGACATTTCAAATTAGTGGAGAAATAAATGTATAGGTACAATAATCTAACTAGTTAGAGACCAAAATAAATTCAGCTCACTTCCTCAAGCTAAACATAAAAATAAATTTAAGTGGATTAAAGAGTTAATTGTAAAAACAAAATTATAAAAGTGCTGGTAGGAAAAAAGGTTATAAAATTTTACACACTTTTTAAAATCTGACACCAACACCTGAGAATTCAGAAGATTGCATTAACAACATAAAGAAAAACCTTTTTGTAAACATACAAACAAAGGCAAATGATGAATTAGGAAGAATATTTGCAGTGTCTGCTTAGATTGCATGTTAATATCTTAAATAGCTAATATACTTTCTATAAATTAATTAGAAAAAGAAAGCCACCAACAGAAAAATGGGTAAAGGACATAAAAAGGTAAGTCACTAAAGGAGAACTGAAAATAGCCACGAGACCTATATAGAAACATCCAGACTTGTTAGTAATAAAATGCCAATTAAAGCAGTCACAAGGTGGTATTTTTCCAATTACCAATTGATAAAGATTAAGAAAAAATTATTAGGGTAGTGAAAGAAATACTTTTCTCTTTCTGAGGGAAGAATTAATCTCTCTGGAGGGGCCTGGGAGATACATATCAAAGAATTTTTAAATGTGCCTCTCAGTAATTTAATATCTATAAATTAATCCCAAGGAGATAATCATGGATGGGGAAAAAAACAAAAAAGAAAAAAAAAACCCAACCACAACCCAACTCCATAGATCTAAGAATGTTTTTGGACTTTTTATAACAATAAAAACCTAAAAAGAACTTAGAACAGTCAGCAATAGAATAAACTCTATTATGGCCATACTGTGAGATGCTAGGCAAACATTATGGCTCTTACAAAGAAAAATATTGAATGTGCTTCCTCTAATAAAAAGAGCAGATTACACATGTGTGCACAGCCAGAAGGCACCTTTAGCTCATACACATGTGCGTGCATGCGCACCCCCTACCTACCCCCCTATCTAAAAATCTAAAAGGGTGTGATGTGTGTCCCAAGTTTTAATGGTGGTACCTCTGCCTGATTGGAATGTGGCTATTTTTTAACTTATCTTTTTTTATTGGTCCATATTTTCTGTAATGGACATATATTATTTTTCAAGTTGAAGAAAACAAAAAAGCTATTAAAATTTAAAAATGGGGAGTCTCTATTTCTTTGGCAAGAAATAATACAATCCTTGTTGTCCAGTACTTGAGTTGCCCCAGAATGAAATGTTGCCCGCCCCTGAACCAATCTCATGGTCACCATGTCCCTTGAGTTTTTGTCACTGTATGTTTGGAAGTATGTGCCTGGGTCTGTCTTTCTAGTTTGTCTTAATCTAGAAGCTCTGCTGAGATGTGCTTCAGATCACAGCAGCACACAATCCTCTGCTGACTGGTGGCCTCTTTGAAGCTGAGAATTTTACCACTGGGCTCTATCTATCAGGCTTCATTCACTTATTATCATTGAGTCATTCCAACTCAGCACACTTGCACTGGGTTTCTGAGACTATAAATTGCACTGGTAAGGTTTGCCCATACTTCTCTCCCGGGAGTCACTGGTGGGTTCAAACTGCTGTTGCTATGTGGTGGTGGTTGTTGTTAGGTGCCGTCGAGTTGCTTGCAACTCATAGCGACCCTATGGACAACAGACCTAAACCCTGCTCTATCCTGTGCCAATCACACTGGCTCCGACAAACCCATCCCGAGTACCCCAGTCACTGAATCAATCCACCTTAGAGGGTCTTCCCCTCTTGCACCGTCCCTCTACCCTCCCAAGTATGATGTCCCTCTCCAAGGACCAGTCCCTCCTTACAACATGTCCAAAGTATGTCAGACGAAGCCCCAGAATCCTTGTCTCCAAGGAGCAGCCCAGTTTAACCATCTCAAAGTTGAATCTGTTTGTTTTCCTCTTCTCCAGCACCACAGCTCAAAGGCATCAATTCTCCTTCTATCCTCTCTAGTCATTGTCCAACTCTCTGATGCATAACAAGTGATTAGTCTCCAGAGAGACACCATTGCTCTTCAATACTTTGGAGAGGTCCCTAACAGCAGACTTTCCCATAGCAATATGCCTTTTAATTTCCTGGCTGCTGGTGCCAAGAGTGTTGACCGTGGAGCCAAGCAGACTAAAGTTGTTAACAATCTCAATCTCTTCACCATCCATCCTGATGCTGCCACTTCATCCAGTGGTGAGAATCTTTGTGGTAGCCTTTGAGTAAACAGCATAACTTCTTTTGGATTCCACCACAAGAGTTCCGTATGATAGTGTGCCTGAATGCTTCATTGTTCTTCCTTGATTTAAGGGGTTGCTGTTTGAAAACAAAGTTTTCTACTAACCTCTCTTTACAAAAATCA